GTCCCGCTAGCCCCCGTCGGCCCAACCATAACATACCACCCCCATCCCGCAGTCCCAGGCCTCGGTCTCGCCATGAACGTCCTCTCCCCCGCCGAGTGCAAGGCCATCATCGCAGCCGGAGAATCCGTCAATTTCCTCCCTGACGCGCCCCTCCGCGAAGACGGAGATATGAGCATCCTCGCCCACAACTTCTACTGGGTAGTCGACACCACATTCCACGACATGCTCTGGGCGCGGATCTCCCCGTACGTGCCGCCCTCGATCAATGGCCGCCTCGTCCGAGGCATCAATCGGCGCTTTCGGGTGTACCGGTACGTCCCCGGCGCCGAGTACAGATGCCACATTGACGGGGCGTGGCCGCCGTCCGGGATCCTCCCCGATGACACGTATGTGTACGACTCCTCGCCCGAGGACAAGAAGCAGAGCTCCATGTATACCTTCTTGCTCTACCTCAATGACGAGTTCGAGGGCGGAGAGACGACTTTCTTTTTGCCGGCTGCGCGGGAGGGAACCCTCAATGCGTACCCTGTGCGACCTGTGATGGGAGCCGTTGCGATCTTCCCGCATGGTGAGTCGAATGGCGCTTTGTTACATGAAGGGACGGGGGTAAGAAAGGGCGCCAAATATATTATTAGGACGGATGTAGAGTATGACGTTAAACCTTGCGAGGATTGATGAAGGTTTACGAATAATGTAGAACTTGACTTGGGCATCAAAAGGGCTTCTCATCCAATCTATTGCTCCCGATGCGACCGAGGCTTTCAGACCCTGACTACGCTTGGACAAAGTTAGATCATGACAGATATATCCGTATTTAGACACGGATGTTCTAAATATACTCTAGAGTTAACTATAGAGGTTCACGATATAGACCTCTTGTGAGTTGAAGCTAATACATACGACCATAGGGTGTAGAAACCAGGGCCAGTTATAAATCAATGCGGCCCGAAGACATCGTCTGATACAAACGGGATGCAATCAAGAGTGAATATTAAGGATTCAAGTTTTGGCCTTCATGCGCCCAACAGGATACAGGAGCACATATAGCCCAAAGGACTTTGGCAGCATTATGGGTATTCTTGTGAACCCGGGCAATCCCAAATGAATCACCGGACTGCAGGGGAGCCTACACTACAAAATATTAGAAAATTTGCACCTGTATCTCTAGTGCAAAGGTTATATTGAAGTAAGCGAAGTTAAAGAACAAAGCAAGTTATACGGACGTCTAATATACCTCCCTATACTTCAGGCAACTCAGCAGATCCCCTCCCATCAAGCAAACTACAGCTCAGGAACTGTGGACAACTCTGCTATCTCCTACGTTGGAAGAACGCCACAGATCCGAGAATTTGCCAACCCCAGATTACTTGGTGTCACCATTCAACGAACAGGTGACGTTGTCAGTGTGTAACTACACCAAAGACAAAGTACAGACCCCGTCTTCGGCACGTAGTGTAGCATCCCTGACTCTGGGACATATATATATCAGGTGTCCCAGTCCAGCCCGCGCTCCCACATTCCTATATAAGCTCGGATAGCTTCTCTCATAGGAAATCAAGCTTCTTCGTTCTTCATCTTCTTGTTTACAGACTTCCACGCTATTGTTCTCTGCAGTATTGACTATAGCCACAGCGAAGGTAGCGGTCTGAGAAATAGACTGTAGAGGATTACGGCGACGAGGTTTCCGATCGCTAAATCATAAGGGAAAAAAAAACTATCATACAAGAATTCGAAGATAGCCACCGGAAAAAAATGAAAAAGAAAACACCGAAAAAAGCACTCATACCTCTTTCCCAGAAACGTAAGGCCTAGCTGCCCCTGACTGAATCCATATGTCTTCTGCATGATGTAAGACTACTTTAATTATATACTTGTGAAACAGCCATATTTACTAATTTATCAAGGTGATAGTTACTTGACCTTTGGCCATGTTTAAGCTATATACTGGCTGGTTAGTCGTGAAAACCGGCTGCTGTATGTATTTTTTTTTCTTTTGGAATATTGTCTCAGACCTGTGTGGAGTATATCTGGGAAGGCTAACTAAACCTTTACGGAGTCGTCTTGGCTGGCATCCGCATCCGCCCGGTGCCTATTCTCCGAGTTATATCCGTAGTTTCCTCTCTGATCAGGAGGATCAGAGCTAAAAGATAGTTATATTAGACTAAATCCAGGAGAGCCTGCGTCCGCGAGACTATAGTTCCTTTCTGGTAGTGTGCAATGATCTGTGACAACCATGCTGAACTAAAATATGGCAACCCACACGCATTCTTGAGCCAGGCGAGGAGGTGTACTGAGACCTCGTCATTCTCCACGGTATACATTATTAGGCTTCTGCCAAGATTCGACCATGAAGCTTGGTTTGTTGGGGTACATATGCGGCATATTTATGCCGAACCGGACGCTTGATTCTTTGGAATCCCACCAATCCGGAACCCCGGTGGGAATGGGAGGGGAGGAAAGCGATTCCAGACGAGCGAGATTGGAGAGCAGGAAGAATTCCGAACCCCATAAGGCTCAAACGTTCGGGGTGTGTCCCAAAGGAGCCCCTGTCTCGGGGGGTTCGGGACCCAAATGAATTCCTGTTCTTTTCTCCTTGCCAAGCCTCTGTAAATTGAACTGACATCCTGGCATTTATTAAGCTTATATATCGCATGATTACTGTCTTAAACAGGATCTGCTGCTATTCGATTGATTAGATTGCCCTGGATGAGTAGGGATGCCAATTGGTGAAGGGCTCGGGTCCACTAGCCCTAAGAAAGCGTCTCCACCCGGTTAATGGCCGGCCAAATTGCCTTAAGCTTCTTAGCCACTTCAGATATACTAGTTTCTAATGCTCTGAAGAAACTCCACCGGTGGCACACTCGGCCGTTCCGGTCGATATCATTCCAATGCTATCATGGGTGGGTAAGACATGTCGACTGCCAGACTATAAAAACGGCGTGTCACCACGCTCTTTCGTTCCTCTATGAACAGCAAACTTTAGCCTGCCGATCTCTTCTCAGTAGTTTGCAAACATGGTCAAATCAATTTTAGCATCGGCTCTATTTGCCGCGACCGTGCTGGCCGCGAGCCGCATGACTGCGCCCGCCGGTGCGATTGTCGTTGCCAAGTCCGGTGGTGACTATAACACGGTATGCTAGGAGGTCGCGTACCCTTCAATATATGCTAATGAATAATTTTCGTGATTGAGTAGGTCAGCGCTGCCGTCAACGCCCTGAGCACCACCTCGACCTCGACGCAGACTATCTTCATCGAGGAGGGCACCTACGACGAACAGGTGTACATTCCGTCCTTGGCCGGTAAGCTGATCATCTACGGCCAGACCGAGGAGTATGCTACTGAACTCTATAATGTTCCCAAATCACCCCTATTCTAATAATTCAATACTAGTGACACCACCTACGCCGGCAACCTGGTCAACATCACCCACAACATCAAGCTGGCTGATGTTGCCAACGATGACGAGACGGGTTAGAACTCTCCAACCACCACGTATCCATATATACTTACAACCAACAGCAACCGTCCGCAACCACGCCCCCAACTCCGCCATCTACAATCTCAACGTTGCCAACACCATCGGCCAAGCCGGCCACCAGGCCCTAGCCGTAAGCGCCTACGGCAACGACCAGGGCTACTATGCCTGCCAGTTCACCGGATACCAGGGTACCCCCGCCCTTCCCTTTCCCGTAGTATCTTACGCAAACAACTACACGAAACAACACTAACTACTCCCAAATAGATACTCTCCTCGCGCAATCCGGAAACCAAATCTACGCCAAAACCCTCATCCAAGGCGCAGTGTAAGCCTCCCATTGCTTTCCCTTCCTCCCCAAACAAAAAGGAATCATGACCAACCATTCCCCAAAAAATTCAAACAGTGACTTCATCTTCGGCCAACACGCCCGCGCCTGGTTCCACGAATGCGACATCCGCGTCGTCAAAGGCCCAACCTCAGGCTACATCACCGCCAACGGCCGCAGCTCCGAAACCGACGAGTCCTACTACGTCATTCACAAGTCCTCCGTCGCAGCCGCTGAGGGCAACGATGTCCCCTCTGGCACATACTACCTCGGTATGTCTATGGTCTACCGATCCTACTCAAACCAACCCAACTTACGTTTCCCTCCACCGCACCGCACCGCAACCTACTAACAATGAATACTGAACAGGTCGTCCCTGGTCCAAATACGCCCGGGTCCTCTTCCAGAAAACCTCCATGACGAACGTGATCAAGGCTGCTGGGTGGAGCGAGTGGTCGACTTCGACGGCTAACACGGAGAATGTGACCTTCGCGGAGTATGGGAAAACGGGTGCTGGGGCGAAGGGGACGCGGGCTAGTTTCTCGGAGAAGTTCAGCGAGCCGGTTGCTATATCGACGATTTTGGGGGTTGATTGGAGGGACTGGGTTGATGTTCGTTATATTAACTAGATTTCGGATGTTGGAGGGAGGTGAATGTGGGATTTAGGATTTGGGGGTGAGTGTGGGTGGATAGAGGCTAGGTGTATATATTATGTGGTGTGGGAGGGATGGATGATATATTTCTGTATATAAATCATAGCTCGAGAGGTAATTGATCTAATTAGGTTTTAGAGCAATATATCCCATGAAGAATTACTATGGAAAAAGAAAGGGGCGTATAGCTCAATAACCTCCTGTTTCTAGGTTGCTGGTTTCTTATAATGAGTGTAAAATCTAAGTGATTGCCCTTGCCAGTCTTTTCTGGTCCAAAACTGGTTTTTCATTTCAATTTGTTTATAGTACTAAATAATACCGAGATGAGTATCTCTCAAACCCCCGATGGTCTAGTTGGATATGGCGCTCGGCTGTAATGGATAACATCTTTGTAACCGAGAGGTCGCCGGCTCGATTCCGGCTCGGGGGATAGGAGATATTTTTTGCCCCTTTTGTGGGGTGGGGGGTGGGTTTTTTTTCCCCACAAGATATTGTTTATTCACTGCTACTCTTACGACGTCTACTGGCCATGGTTTATGATTGTCTGCTCTTCCTGCGCTAATTTGTACTATTTTCAATTCATCACTACTTCACTCTCATATGTATAGTCATATCGTTTCTCACCATTGTATTTGGTTCTTGTCTTATCCCCATTCCACGCTGCCGCTCAGTGATGAAAATAAATTGCGAAACTTGCCGAGAGAATCACAGAGTGGTCGATCTCTAGGATCTGACTGAAGGGCCAGCGTTATATCTTTAGGGCCCTGTGCTACTCACCGACCTTGAGCCTCATCCCGCGTAAATCACGCGTTCTCGCTTGGATCAAAAGCGACGCCCACTATCCGCTTTGGTCCTACCATACGCCTGTATGAACAGCATTGTTCTCAACGAGGAGCGAGCCGTAGTCGCTGCGATAGCCCCAGGTGCCGCAGTCAGGTCCCAACAAGGCGTCTAATGGGCTGCATTTCTTGAAGGAAGCCGACCACGATGGCGCTACATGGAATATGAATCAGTATGTGTAGGAGCCAAACAGCCTCGGGTTGTATGTCTTGCCTTGGTCGGTTGCACCGGAGGATGCCAGATTCGAAATAGAAGATCCCGTGGTCCGTCGGTAAGCAGTGGTTGGCGTGCATTGCACAGTCTAGTTTCATGCCAACTCTTTCCCCAGAGGTGCCTGTAGCCTGTTAGTACGAAACCTTCCGACCTTGGGATCGAAGTAAAAGTGAGATTACCTTTTATCCACGCTTCCCTTCGATCATCGGACACGGATACGTTATTGTTACTGTCCGAAGCACACTAGTGGGATGGCTATGCTTTGGCCCCTTGGTTTGCTGACTACAGGTTGTAGGACATACTGCGAGGACACTCCGAGTGGACTGTTGCAGGTAATCGAGAATATCCCTAGCCTTGCCGTGAAGGAATCTGCTATAGTGATGGCTTTCATGTTCGTAGAAGGGGCTAAACTCCTTGACGTTAGCCGCAAGGAATTGTCTGGCGAAGCGCTCTTTCCGTTTCTCACCTACGGTGGGATCGGGGGCCCCGATACCGTTGACCAGGACGATGCTGGTAATAGTAAAGGGGACAATGATGAGCCAAGATGGTCAAAAAAGGAAAGGGCAGGGGGCCATCGAAATGATATTGACCATGGTTTCAATTAGTTAGTACAAGACAGCAATATCGTGCATCCAGTGCACACTGACGCTTGACAGATATGTGGTATATACCCAGTTTAATTTCTTTCTTTCTCGAATTGAGACCGAGGAATCCTCTACCTTTAGCCCTCTACTTGATCCAGCCAAAGAAATCCTTGTACGGTCAGATCTGGTAATTTAAACAGCAAAATACTGCTCTTGTGACTGCTCCAGATAGCACAATAGGCCGGGCGACGGGCTGTCTTAGGCACTGCATCACAAGTGACACAAGTTATAATAAGAATCGAAACCATGTCCGTCACACAACATTATGTAGGTTGACTGATAATGCAAAGCTGGAAAGGAAAGGACGTCCAGCATATGTGCTCGATCTTCCGATGGCTGAGGGAACGGCACGTCAAATCGATCCTGCAAGTGACCATGATAGACAACCAGGAACCGCCACACTCGGACCAAGCCATCCAAGCCTGCTTGAGGCAGCTGGATGTGCCAGTCTGGAACTGGTACAAGCCGGACCTCTGCTCCGAGGTGAATTTCAATGTTCCCCCTCGTGTCAGAGAAGTGACGCGCTACTCCTCTCGCAACAATGTAGTAGTAAGTCGGCTGGGCTCCCCAAACTTGAAAAGGTAGGTGTGACTCGATGCGGCATGACTCCTGAGGCCTGTGAAAATATCTAACCATCCCTTATGCCAATAGTTAGAAATAGTGCATATTCATGTCGAAGAGGTGAGTGATACAGTGGGAAAAAGGTGGTGCAGGATACATTTCTAACTGCTGCCACATGGGCCTTGAACGGCTACACCGACTTATAAGCAACATGAATGCGTTCAAAACTCAGTTGAAAAAGCACATGCCCAAGGTCAAAAAATTGTGTGGGCAACCAACCTGGAATCACGAGTCGCTCTTTACAAAAGCGAGGCGCTCAGAAACTAACGTTAGTGCGAGCCTTTCTACCTTCCTAACACAGAACAGATATGCTAACATTTCTCCGTTCCATCAATGATTCGAATTGGATGAGCTCCATGAAAATGTTTGCCGAATTCCTCAAGGCTGCGAAGCCTGATCCGCCGGTACAGCCGATCAAGATAGCGGTGATTGATGATGGGATTGATACTGCCCTGGATATCTTCACCAACAGGATCCTGGTGGGCGAGTTATTTTACCAACTGAGTGACGTGTCTGGCTACCGAAGAGCATACTACAGCCCGTCAGCGCCCCGTGGGTGTGGTGCAGTCTATCTACGAGGTATGTCCAGTGGTGAAGTTGTATATTGCTCAGCTTGAAGTCTTGCCGGGACGCGATGGTGGGCGGTCGTTCACCCCGGAGTCAGCGACAGAGGTGAGAACTAACGTGCCTGGTGCTCTGCTAGTTTACTGGTGCTTGGTCTCTCCGGATCCTTGACCGGTCATAAAACCTTCCTGCCTTGGGCAGGTTTATCTTTGGCCAGCTCTCGCTCCTTCTCACCTCCACGCGACATTCCTCGTCATTTTCAGTGCCCGGTCTCAGGGAAAGCTCACCCTCAGCATTCCCTTAAAACATGCCATCTATCAATCTCCTGGTGACCCTCAGCTTGCCGCTGGTAGGGGCGGGTTTATACGCCTTCCTTGTAATGTACCAACACCGCTCCCAGATCAATCGACTCCGCAAGCAGGGCGTAGTAAGTTCGGTATCCCGTAGAGTGGCAATGTCATTAATGTCACTAGCCCATGCCTGCAGGATGGAATTGGATAACCGGTCACCTTCTCGTACTTAACAAGTATGTTGAGCGCCTACCGCCCAACGCCAACGTCGCTCTGGCCACGGAGATCGCATTCGAATTCCCCGATACCGAGATCTTCCTCTTGGATATTTGGCCGGTCTATCAACACCTTGGTTTATTGCTCACTGAACTGCCTAGAAGCTGGTCAGTTTTATGGCACTCTACTTAACATGTCTGTCCACCAACGTTTACCCCGTATTATTGGCCCACAAGGCGGATTTGGCCCCATGAGCGGTTTACCCATGTAAGGTTGGATTCTGGAGCCCTAGTAGAGTAGCCCCGCTGCCCTAGGAGGTTGGGAACAGTTAGGGAGGTTGTAACATTAGTCAGCAATAATTGTACCGAAGCCCCTACATATTCTGAACAGTTGCTGTGCAGGAAGTAGGAGCAGTTGCCTGCAACTCGCTAAACAGCTGTATTGATTGGACCAGACCGGGCGGCTAAATATAGGTCGCGGCTCGGCCCAGTCCGTGTGAGCTACCCCAGTTCAGTTAATCCACCCCGCGCTTCATGAAATGCTTTGCGAGCATATCAAGCTATAGTCTAACGATGGTGGACCGTCTCGCCGTCTACATCGCAGCTGCAATTCTAACCCCACGCGAGGCCGAGATTCGCATCTTGATAGCACAAGGCGCTCAGGATGTGCGCGCCATCATGACCTCCCCCTCGTCCCCCGACGAGTTGCAGCGGAACGCGGCACGCGAGACCAAGACGCTCCCCGCCACTCGCAACCGCCAGGTAACCGGCATCCTGTGGTACCTCGTTGCGCTAGCAGTAGAGCGCAATCAGGGATTCGTGACGGGGGCCTTCGTATGCCGCGATCCAGACGGACGACTGTCTGCTTACTTCCGTGGAATCGGCACCCCGCGCATCAGCAGCCACCTGAAGCGCCATAGCGCGCCCGGCTGCACCGGTGGCATAGACTTACACCCCGACGATGAGTTACCACCGCTCGCCCATGGCCATCGACACCTCCTGTTCATTGCCATTGAAGGAGATAGGCGCCGCGGTACTTGTCTGTTCCTCAAACCCGAGCGCTACGGGGTCGCCGGCCTCCGGAATTTCACCCACCATGCCGCGCACTACGTCCGCTCGCTGGCGCGCCGACGCCGGTTTGGCGGCAATGAAGAGATAGGTATGCGCAAGGAGCGTATCCCCGATCGCGCTGTGCGCGACTTTAGAGAAGCTGTGGCCCATCTCCCGGACGGTCCAGAGGCGATCGCCGAAGTGGGCCGCTATTCCAAGGGCGACGGCATTGGGTGCATGCACGACTACTTGGTCAGGAAGCTCGCCGACGATAGGCTTCCTAGCTCTGTTCGTGCCCCGTTAGTGACCATGCTCTGCCGTTTGGAGTCGGAGTACGACTTTGTTGCGCTGCGGTTTGGGAATGAGGTATTCCTCGACCTCCCTAGCGATATCACAAGACCGCTTCCGCAGGCGCCCGACGTGCATGGTCCATCGCCGTCTTTATGGTGGCTGAGACCCACGTCAATGAAGGAAATTGATGAGGTGTCGTCTGGGAAACTAGAAATTACCGATGAAACATATGAGACTATTCAGAACTCTACTTGAGATGGGTTCTAACTTACTGCCTATCTTTATCTGAGAATCCGATGTAGGGGGCAGTGCAGCGAGTAACACTTTTCAGAAGCACTGGTGGATCCGCTGCTCAATATGGAAGATGCTATGTTAAACTCATCAGCGAGAAAGATGGCAGGACCATCTCAGACCAGGCTATGTCGCAGTAGATTTGATGGGGAGAAATCGGAGCTATTACAGTCGTCTGTCTACCTATTTATGCAAGTGCCTGTGCAGGTTTAGGTTTACGATTCGATGCAAGATTTAGGTCAGATACCCTCTTTAAGTATTTACAGGAGTCAGGTTTTTATACGAATAAAGGGCTCTTATGCACAATCAATGGAGCATCATCAATGCATGAAACCCAACCAACTATCTAAGGTCAGGACTTATCGTGACTTCCCACACTCCGAATTTATCCCCAGCTCATCAAACAAAGTC